CAGGGGCGGCACGGCGCCCCGGGTGGGGAGGGGCCACGTGGGTGAGTCTCGTCCCCCTCCAAAAGCCCAAAACCCAACAGAAGTACAGTTAAAGGCTCTGACCTCTTACAACGTGTCACCCTCTCCAGCTCGCAGCATTGCTGCTGTCGCTGGTCTGCAGGCAGCGAGCACTGCCAGCCGGCCTCGGTCCGCTGTCCCGTTCGTACAACGCATAACGCACTGCAAAACACGCCACCGGTAACTCGCTTCCGATGTTCAAGCTTTTCTTCAGCTGCCAGAAGGCTCAGCATTACAGCAGGCACTTGATTTTGTTAGCTTCAAACGGATGGAAAAATCCCCCCTTCCCTGTAATGGAAAAGGCTTTTCTTAAAGTCTTTCCCTAAAGAGTTAGTTCTGTGTAAAATGGAGCTAGGATTTCAGATTGCAATTTTAGAGTAAGTTCAGGATTTACGAGTTCAGTCAGTACAGCAGAGCCGGAGATCAACTTTTGCATTGGCCAAGTATCACGCTGTAATGCGCTACAGTGCTTTGAAGTCTTAAAACCAGTCTAGATCTTGTGTCCCAGCGGGACATACCACATTTACAAAGTTTGACAAATTTTTGTTATGTGCTATCAGCGAAATTCTGTTCATCAGTTGAGTTATATGCCTTGTTACTATGACTTGTTGAAAAGAACAGCGTCATTAAACTGTTTTCACTGTAAAATAGTGTTTACTTTAAGAAAATGGTAAGCGTATCTGAAGGTTACAGGAAGATTATTCCCCACTAAGATCCAGAAAGGTGCTTATACATGCTGCTCAAATCTATTATTAGTAAAGCAGTCGAATGCTGTGGATGCCCAAGTTGTAAACTGAGGACTGTAAAATATGTACATTTTGTAGAATAGGTGCGATAGGCCTTTTCCTTGAAACGACACTCAGGGACGCGGTTACAGCAAGAACTGCCACTGCATTTGTGTGTCACGTACTTCGCAGCAAGACTGTCTCGTGTCTTGAAGCCACATAGCGACAGGTGGTTTTCAGGCACGTCTACATCGTGCTCAATGCACACAACGGTCGCAGCATCTGCCAGCTGAAAGGCCTGCACGTACACAGACACATTAAAAGCTGTTAAAATTATTTGGGAGCTAGATAGGATCTTCCCACAGGTTAGATCCGGGCCATGAACTGGACAAGCATACAGAAACTTTGTCTGCAGCTTTTTTGTTTGTACTGCCCAAGGGGAAAAAAAACAAAAAACAAACAACAAAGGAATGATTCCTTAAGGAAAAGAATACCTTTTCTTTCAGGGACAGATTTGGGGGAGGGAAAGGAAAAAAAAAAATATAGCAGTGCTCACCACAACATTTAAGGGATTGTGTCAGTTCAGGTTTAATTCCATTTTGTCTAGATGCAGTAACCTAGTACCTGTAATAATCAACTCAGGTTAAATAAGATGCTAACCTCAAATGAAATTTATCATCATTTTTCCCACAACCACATGAGTGATAAAAGCAGCACACTGTGTTAGCAGCTGAGAGCTATTGCTACACCATATGGTAAACAAGCTTGTACATGTTCTACAGTAGGTGCAAGTTAGGTCAGGTATAACGCTATCGGAAAACTAGAAATCTCAGATCAGTCGGTATGGTTAGTTTGAACATATTTAAGTTCTGGAATGAAGTTCTCCAGTATGAATTTCTTTAAAAAAAAATACAATTCAACACCTCCTTCACTGGAAATGCATGGAAAGAGTTGAAAATGCAGATGAAATCTATTAACATCCAAAATGTATCAGGTAAGGAAATAATGATTGTAAACTAAATGCTAAATAGCACTTACAAAAGGCCTGCTGCAGGACAGTAAGGGGAATGCAGGTCACACTTGTTTAACATCTAAACTAATAAAAGTAGCATCAGGGAAATAATTCAGTAGGGAAATCAAAGACTAACCAGATGGTAACACATACCCTTTTTTGCAAACGGATGCATTAAAAGAAAACAAAATACAGCTCACATTATTTGTACTGCATGCTACAGTATCAGAATGATACTCAATTAACTGAACCAGTACTAACCAGATTCTTTATATTAGCTGCTCTATCATCCTCAGGACAGCAATTCTTTATCGCAAAGAAATACGCAGCACTCTCCACGGTTGCTCTCTCTTAGCTGGTTCTAAACCAAGCAGCTTTGTACAGCATCAATCTCTTCTACAACATGCCATTGTAAGTCCAAAGAACAGTAGGAGAGGGAAAAAAGACCAAACAAAAGTTAAAACTACGCAACCTTTTCCTTTCTGTTTAGCTTCTTTCTCCTAAATAAACCCATTAGAAGGAAGAAATAACACACTATTTGTTGCACTGCATTTACCTGTTACAGCATATTCTCACGGTTCTTTTCGAAGATTTTCTAATAGGTATTGTACACCTGCTGCTGCAAAGAACCAGCGCCTAACTCACTAGAGCCTGTCATTTGCTGGACCACAGGACCTTCCACATCACTAAGACTTAATAGGCAGAGATGACTCTCCTAAGCGGATGCACATATGGAATGTTGCAGGTTTTTACTAACTAGTCTCCTTTGTTATGAGACACCATATTGAGAAAAGGGGCAGGAAGCAGTAGCACGCACAAAATTTGTAGTGAAGGATCTCTCAACTCCTATCAAGGCACTTAAAAGATTCCATTTTCAAGACTAATATTCTGTATAGAAAAAGCTCCTCTAGTCAAGTGTTAACACAACTCTGCAAAATACAAAATCCACAGCATTCCAAAAGGTTTCGTGTAACCCTGTGTTATACCCATTATGCCTCTCCTCTTGATTTGAGCCCTCAGTGTAGCAAGGACTTAGGCCTACCAAAACAGAATTTCAATTGGTCTGAATCAGCCAACTGATCCCTGACCTTTGCAGGGGAAGAAGAGACGAGTCCAACCATAAATGAGGGGAGCTGTAGCAAATGGAAGTTCCGATTCCTCTTAACAGCAAGATTTTCCTCAAAAATTCCTGAAACAGTAACATGCATCTTCATCAGTTGTTTCTATTGCTCTTCAACAGATAGGTTTGTTTGGTTTGTTTGTTTGGTTTGTTTGTTTCCTCAGACTACCTCTAGATTATAATATAAAATGGCCTGAAGTTAGACCAAGTATCATTTTCAGATTCCGGCGTTTGCAGTACGTTATTAAGTTCATTTTCAAAATGTCTTCACTTTTTTCTTTTCAACTTCGAAGCAGTAACTGGAGGCAGTTAAACATGAAAAATAAAAAATATTTAAGAAAATGTTTTTGGTTTTGTTTTTTTAAGGTCATATTATTAGACTGTCACTTAGATAAGCCATGTTCTCTATTCTGGGGCAACCTCTACTTATTTTTTGTACATAGACTGAAAATATTTAAGCCTTTTAAAGATCCCAAAAAATAATTTTAAATACTACGACATAGCTAGCAAATGATTTCAGGTAGAAGCTAGTTGAAGAGTTTGCTCGTATTCACAACCAGGGAACATTCAAACTCGAACTTTTAGACTCCATCCGCTCCATCTGTTAATGCAGACAAGTAGCCTTTCAAAAAAAGAACCTTGAACGACCCCTGAGGGAAGTCTACCTTCTCCACACAGAGAAGCTGAACCTCCCACTTAGATGCCTGAAGCAAGGTTCACTACACCTCAGCAAACTGGCTAGAAGTTTTAAGTTTTACAAGTTTTGCAGAAAAAAAGGAGGCAATGGGTTCTTCTTTTCTAGTAACTGGAACTAAGAGAAAACCATTATCTACTGATTCACTTTGTGGATGTCCATTAAATTATACAAGTACTTCATTTAAATCAGCTTTAATCAGCTACATCAAAGGCACTTGTTTCACTCAAAGAGAATTAATAAACCTGTTATCCCAAAGGTGGTAACACGAGAGTGGCAAGCAATGAAAACAAAAAGAAAAAGAAAAGGGGAAAAAAATAATCTGTTCTACAGCTATAACTCTTCAAAGAATCCCATTTCCAAGTTAACCAACAGACATTCTGAAAACTTCTTGAGTCACCTTCTTCCCTTACACCAGCGGCCTCATACTGTATTTGATAAAGTTTAATACAATAGTACATTGTAATTTTTTACTATGCTAATTCTAGGCAACATTTCTCCTCATAGTTATCTCCTCAGGGACGCCAGGGCTGAAAGTAAATAGAAACTGAAGATGACTCAAAAAGTTTTTCATAAAATATAAACGGACAAATTACTCTGTATAGTATTGCATCTTTATTGTTACTAGCTATTCTTATACCCTTAAGTTGCCACAATATATTCACATACAGCACTGCATCTGACGTGCATTTCCACACATCCATGAACTTCCTAACTGTTCTCCACACTGATTTTTAGACATCACAGTCTACGGAGACAAGCAGCCTTTTATAGTTGCTTTAAACTGCTTGAGGGGGAAGGTCTACCTTTACTACCTGTACACCCCATTGCCTCTCACCTGTACACCCCATTGCCTCTCAAGTTTCTTCAGCATTTCTTCCCAGATAATCTCAAGTTTTCTCTAGAGTGCCCCACACTATGGGTACCACTGATCAGCCTCAAATATTACAGTTAGCCTAAAAAGCACATGTAACCCCTGACCTGAAAACTGCTTCTTTAACAAATATGTTAAGTGGTACGTATGCTATGCCTAATATAACTTCAAAGGCTCCCCGACACCGCAGAACCCCCAGAGAAAGGTACAGCAGTACACAGTGAGAAGACTTTGGCTCTTCAGTGCCCTAGAATAAAGCTACTAGAAAATATTTTAATTTCCTTTATCTTTCAAAATTACTGCAAATTCCCAGAAAACAAGTTAAAATAAAATTAACCCAGAACATGAAAAAAAATGAAATCATACTTAGCATTCTCTCAACAAGGTAGCAAAACATAAATTGGTGATTTTTCTTCTTTTCTTTTCAGTAACTACAAATCATCGTTCTTTTGTATTATAGCATCACGCATACATTACCATGCAATACATTTGCAAGAAGCCTCTAAAGTGCCTATTTCAACTGCACATGAAAGCTTCTTTCAGGTAAGTATGGAAAAAGTCTGTAGTACTTTCCCAAACACTGATTGAAATTTATTTCACAATGATAAAAATGGAAAGATTTTACATTTTCCTTACTACAGAAATAACTTCCAAAGTTAAGATTTTTTTATCATAAATAGAATGAGTAAACTAAGTAAATTACATCTTAGATGTTTATATTAAATATGAATGGCTTATACTTCATAACACAAAGAGTAAGTGTTCAGTATTTCTTTATAAAATTTAAGATACACAGGCCTTGTACATATGGCTTCATTAACATCTTATACAGTTTGTTCTCAGTCACATCCATCAACACAAATAGCACCTCTACATAAAAGATGCATCCTAATGATTTCAATGAAGTGCAGTATACTCCATTAGAGAGAACATGTTTTAATTAACAGTTCCAATACCAGTAACAGTGTACAGTGCTTTTACCAATCCACTGTGTTGTAATTATACAAGATAGGAGGAATAGACCAAATCATACAGCCCTCACCACAGTACAGACCCCAGTACAGGTTTACTTCAAGAATGGCTGGAAGATTCGGCTTATAATACATAATTCAACACGTTTGTTAAAAAGTGGGCAACATATTCCAACAAGAAGTCAGACTTCTGACTGTACAAAACTGCAGTCAAATTTAAGTACCATTTTGAAATTAAAAACGCATTAAGGAGTTAGATACCCATTGAAACAAACTGATCTGCAAGCAAGGTATTTTTGTATCAATGGGACATTCACATTTAGAAGACTGACAGTCCAACTGCTCCATTTTAATAGAATATTATGAAAACCCCCACACCAGACTGAGCTATCATTCAGCCTAAAAATACATGCAATTATGACAACAATCCCAGCACCAAATCACTTCAGGTAGTGATGAAGTTCGCTACAAGATCAAACACACAGCTTTCCAACCAGCTGGGAAGTTACAGAAGACAGGAGCTCAAGATACACACTGTAATATGGGAGGAGACAGGATAGGCTTCAAATACATCCTCGAAGTTTCCTCTAGCTTCCAGGCTCTTTAACAACCCCCAACTACAACATACTCATATACCCCTGCAAAAAAAAACAACTTGAGGGGAAGAATTCTTCATAGAATACAGAAATTCAAAATAAGTCACAACATTTACTTACATTCACTTTGGTAACACAGCTCTTTGTAGGTAAAGCAAGCAGCAAAACAACAGTATGAAGAAAATCTTGTTGTTATGATAGCTGAATATTTGAACAAAGTTAGCACATAAAGCATTTCTAGAAAAACATCTGAAAGCATTATGAAGACAGCAGTTGAAACTGACTTGGATTAAAATGCTTAAGCACTAGAAACTGCCCACAAGCTGTGAACACTGTTCGCCAAACCAAAGAAAGTGTTATGAAGCTAACACAGAATAAAGCTAAGACTGATCTCATTTTAACATCTTGGAAATATTTTTTAAACTCATTCCAACAGAAGAAAGAATATGTGAAATGAGCACAGAGTCAATTAGAAGTTGAACAAGACAGCTGAACAGCATTATCAAACAATTTACAAACAGAACAAGAAAAAAATAAAGGAAGAATTAGAAGCTTGTGCAGAACTTTGGAAACATGCCAATATTCAGGGAATTATTTAGACAACAGGGGAATGAGGATAAATCTAAAAACTAGGAGAAATAACATATAATTTGCTTACCAAGTTTGCAATTCAGCAGGACTGCAAAATTAGCTAATGCAATTTGGGAATGACTCCAAGCTAGGACACACTGTTTTCTCAATAGATCTTTGGCACAACTACAATAAGAATATTATGGTTTCTTTTGTGAACTAAATTAACTGAAAGACAAATTGGCAGATCTATAGAACAGAGTGACTGAGAGAGAAGACTAATTAAACTTCAAAGTTAATAGACATGCCCTCTCAACTACGCAGATGGAATACCTAAAAGTGTTTCAATACCATTTAGAAAACAACTCCTTTTCAATTTTACATATTAAGGTAAGTTTAATAACACAGAGAAACTGGATTAGAAAAGAAAAACAGCTTCCTAAAGTGAAGTGCAATAGGTATGAAAAAAAGCACTGAAAACTGAGAACTCACACTAGGTGAACAAGTCAGATTTCTGGCAGCAGCCGTGTTAAATAAGGGATATAAAGGCATAATTCCCTATTTATGCATTTGTACTGGCAGATGACTTGGATGTAAATCCATATACACTGTAAGAGGACCACTTGATTAAGCTGGGAGAGGAGAAAGTACCTTAAATGCAGGTATGAAGCACAGTGCTGACACGACAGATGCATCCGAAATAGGAATATTCTTTGCTTGCAAACATATTATTAGTATAGAACATTGTTATGCAGCATATTATGTAGTAAAAACTATAATGTATTTTTTAAACATTCCTAGTGTGGCGACAGCCTCTGAACTCTACAGAAGAACAGCTGTTTCCAGAAGTAAATTACGGCTCTTATGCAAAAAGCTCTTGAGTGTGCATCAATTTCTGTAACTCAGTGCGTTCTAGAATTTTCTTTCTAGAATGAAAGAGCAGACATTCTGTATCTTGTAGATTTTTTTTTTCCTATAGTAGATCTTCATATTCCTAGGCTATACTGATCTAGGGAAATTTAGAATGATATATTTGAAAATAAAATTTTCTTCTTTTTCAGAAAAAAATAATCTCAACAGGCAATAAAATAAATTATTAGATGGTATCAATTTAAAGTTCAAGTAAATTATATCCCAATTGCACTTATATTTCTATTAAAAAAAAAATTCAAATTAGTCAATTTCTGTGTTACAGATGAGATTTCAACAATACACGAAACTACACAGCTGCATTGTTTTCAGTTAGTTTCTCCAAAGCAGACAGAAACTATATGCTGGAATTGCTCACATGAAACATATCAACATTTCTACACAAATGAAAGCTACAAAGACTAAAGCACAAGATGAATGTTCAGTATGAAAACAGGAATTTTTTAATGAAACTCGAATTAATCCTATGCACTTCTTCAGAATTCTGTTCCAAGTCAGCATTTGATATGAGTTTATAGTAATTAAAAAAAAAACCAAACCAATAAGCGACAAACGATGGTCTAACAAGGAATGAGTCCCTTTAGAATTTCCACAATATCTACCTGTATGAAAACAGTTAAAAATTGAGGTGGTTTAAATATAAGAAATACCTTTGCTGACTTCTAGCCATTCTAGAACAACCCTCCTTATCTGGAGTAACAATTAACAATTAATATTTAAAGCTTTGTCCTTGGTAACATTTATTCTACCATCATATGCTCACTATGTTACGTGTTGTGTACTTTATGCATCCATTACATAGAGGAAATGTTTTAATATGTTTTCAATGAGTATTAAGAACAAATCATGTCTCAAGTATAACTAAACTGGTCACATTTATGTTGCTCGCTTAAATTTAGTTTTTAATTACTTGTACAAATAGTTTAAAATTCTGCAATCAAAAAAAAAATCAGACATCTTAAAACAGTATGCTTAGGTTACATTCTGTCATTGTTACCTAGCTGCCTCATTCATATAGTCCCACCAGTGGATGAATAATACTAAAAGTTATCATTTCTTGTACACGTGTATAATTTAATCCTCATCCTAAGTATAAATCCGCAACACAGTAGTAACGCTGCAGGTATAGAAGTAATGCTTCCTATCAGGCATATGAAAAGATTAACACTCTACCACAGTTGATGCTGGTGTATTTATATAGAAGGCTTCTCACATATCGTTTCAGTCTACAGGAGGTAGATGTTTGTCTATGAATTGTTTTACATCCATCATCTCCTGTTTAAAGATAAAAGTATGTATTAGTTGAAGTTCCCTACTAATATATATTCAGCTACACTAAATCATGTTTCAACATTTCAGTTCTAATGAGCAGCTGGGCCACAAATATTGAGTTAATTAATGGAATTAATCATACCACTTTGCACACAACAAGTCAAGGCTGATAACTCTTCAAGGCACTATGCACTCAGAAGAGGCTAAAATACAAGAAAAAGAGCAAAGACTATTTTTTTCTCTCTCTGTGAAGTTGAGCTGGCAAGCTACATATTAATCATCCAGTGATCTGAACAGCACCAGGCTGAGCACAGATAGGATTTGAATGTAGCTAAGGCCATAGCTTCATGTATACTTTAAACTTTTGCAAGCTAGCACAGCAGTGTGAAAATCCAGCAGCTCCTCCTCCTAAGCATTCAGTTTCACCTTCATGATGCTTCCTTCCTTAAGGAAAAGCAATACAGCAAACTAGACTGCGAAACCAATCCATGTTAAAAATAATTTAGTTTTAATTTTTTTTTTATTAAGTCAATGTTGTAAGAAAGAGCATGTTATTAATATATGTGTGACAGCTCAATGCTATTACTGCCTAAACACAACTGTGTAAATGTCCCAAAGAGGTTGTCCAAGGGTACAGTTCCCACAAGTTGCAGCAATCCAAATTAACAAAGTTACTGCTGCTGACAAATGGCAGATTTGTTCCTTGCCTCCTCTTCTGTTTCTTGCTCCTACCATTTACTTTGTATGCGTTCCGATGCTTCAACTCATTACAACTGCAAAAACTGAAGCCAGCAGCTTTTGCCATTTTAGCAAGTTCAAATGGTTCAGAGAAGTTTCTGATCAGCTCCAGAGCTGGTGCAAGAAGGAAGAGAGGGCCACAAGGTCATGAGCAGAGGGAACTAGTCCACCCCTTTCTGGCAGCAGCAAGCCATTACATCAGCTCAGCTGCCTCCTGAGCCAGAACCATAAATATAGGCTCTGAGGCTGCCTCTTCCATAGCATCAACCCTCCCTCTCCGTTCATTCGATGTCTCCATCCATAGAACTAACAAGATTCTTCTCTCCAAAATACCAAGTTGCATTTGTGCTGTGAGAATCTGCCTTCCAATTCAGTGATTTTTTTTTTTTTTAGTAAGCAAATAATAAAAATTGGGGGGGGGAAGAAAGTATTTTATAGACCAACTAGCCTAGTCCCAAAAATACAATCTTATGAGGAAGTTCCCACTAGTCATATAAACTTTTGTCTTGGATGCTTTTTCAGCCAGGCATTCAGTTACTCACTAAAATAAGTCAGTAGCATCAAGCACTTGTCAATTAAAAAAAAACAAAACACCAAAAAAACAATGCAAAGAAACCCTCACCCAATACATATTTGTTTTGAGGGAAATGAACCATACCCAGCTAAAACATTGTATATTAAGAAAATTACCTCAATACATGAGCTATGCATCATGCCAGAGTAAGTCCTGAAGGTTACGTTGGCTGGATTGATCATACTCTTTAGCTTCTCAACAGTGAGAGAACCGAACATTAAAGGAACCAATGGGTCACAGTCCCCATGGCACTGAAGAACAGCAATCTCCTTGTTGACACCACTGATAGGGCCCTGTTAGGGGTGGAATTAGAGGGGAGAAGAGAAGAAAGAGACAGTAAGCGGAGGTAAGGCTAACATCTTCGAGATAAAATAACCCCACGGCACTATGCCCTGTGGCATGACAAATAAGTTGAATTCTGAAGGAAAAAAAACACAATGTATAGTCCGCAAGTTCCTTATGAAGTAAGCTCTGCGCCTGACAACACTTAAGTTCAAAAACCTGCAAATAAAATTTTGGCACTAATTTCAGAACAGAACAACATGATTTCTGGCCAAGTAAAAAAAACTGATACTTTGTTTAAATACCTAGTCTCTAATGAGATAGTGCCTTGAAGATGGAAAAAATGGCAAATAGAAAATTCATCTTCAAGGAAAATTCGCTGTATCCTTTAAGTTTCCTAGGAATGTCATTTTAAGCAGAGATACTACTGAGTATTTCCTCATTTTCCCTACTTGCCAAACTCTGTAACTCCAGGGCCCTATTTTAAAAACTTCTGAGTTATCAAACAACTGTCAACATTCGGTAATAACGATGGCCACTAATTCCTGCACAAGATACAATCTTCAGATATACTCATTCCCCAAGTGCAAATTAGCTTAGGGAAGAAACATAAATACCTGAGGAAAAGAAGCCCGTAGAGGAAGCCAACAGCTGAGGGCTACAACACCTGCTAATTTTTGTTGTGTTGTAAGAGCTGTATACAATGATAAAGCACCTCCCTAAGATAAAGAGATGTAAGTATTAGAATGGTGATGGTAATGCTTGTTTTCAAGATCTCTGGTTTCTCCTTAAAGGTCTTTTTCTATTCCAATCTATTCTGCCTTAGAATCAACACTAAAACCAGTATTCCTGTACAACATTTATTTTGCTCCCCCCACCCCGTCCATGTGATCAATTCAGAAGTCAAACAGCAAATTTACCATAACTAACAGCTCAGGGGCGGGGAGGAACACAAAACAAAACATGATATAAAGCACTACCACTCATGACAGTATTATTACTACTTTAATATTTTCATTTACTTGTATGCAGACTGGTAAGTTGGTGTATGGACCAATTAATCTAGTAACCTACCTACCACAGATGTCTTACAAGTACGAAGGGAAGAATTTCCCAAATAAATCCAGACCATCAAATATCTACCAAATTAAAGTTAAATTAAAAATACTAGCAACATTTTCAAGCAAAGCCACATAAGTTACATGCGTAAAAACTTTAAATAGACTATTAATTTTAGTACCTTTTTTCCACACGCATGTTCCTTTTCCAGTGAATAGTAACTATTTGCATAAAACTAAAACACTTCATTTGTTAAGGCAAGGGAAAATTGACACCTTAAAATTTTAGGAGCACCTAACATCAGCTCTTTTCAATTCAAGCGTCTGGATTTCCCACGTTAGGAAAGCTAGGTTACTTCCCTAGAAAAAGACACAGTTCTTTCCAACCATACCTTACCTGAGAAAAGCCTCCCAGAATAATTCTATTAGAAGGAATTCCATTTTTTACTTCTTGATCTATCAGTGCTTTAACTGCAAGATAAACAAAGGCCAGTAGTTAAAAACCACTCCATTCTGTAGAAAGTCTAGCAGAGGAAAGAGACCTTCTCCCTGATGTCAATGGAAAGCTAGCAAAAGGAAAATCTGGTCTGATATACATTAAAAAGTATCAAAAGATCTAGAGCATGATCAGAAATTCCAGTGCCACTGTACCATTTCCAAAGAGAAAAACTTGCAAGCAAGTCTCACAAAAACCCCACTGCCAGGAAGATGGTATCCTCTTCTAACTATCCAGCATCACAAGTGGATGCTCGTACAGCTCTAACCTGCTGTGCTACCCAGAGCTGGTCTGATATACATTAAAAAGTATCAAAAGATCTAGAGCATGATCAGAAATTCCAGTGCCACTGTACCATTTCCAAAGAGAAAAACTTGCAAGCAAGTCTCACAAAAACCCCACTGCCAGGAAGATGGTATCCTCTTCTAACTATCCAGCATCACAAGTGGATGCTCATACAGCTCTAACCTGCTGTGCTACCCAGAAGCTCTTTAAAAAAAAAAAAGTACACTGGTTCCCACATACCTTTCATATTTGAGTGTATGAAGTGTTTGTACTGGTGAATTACTCTACCTACTCATGGAGTTTAAAAAAACCAAAAGCACAAAACAAACTATGCACTTAGCTAAACTTTGATCAGCAATAATACAATACATACATACTACTTTTCCTAACAATTTTGTCTTTGGAAAATCTGTTTCAGACTTCTAATTAATTTTTAAGAATACACGGAAGTACTTTTAAGCCATAAAAAGTATTCCTAAGCATACCATTCTCCGCTGCCTGCTTGATCCCAACTTCATCTTCCTGCGAATCTGGAGAAAGTCCAATGATATCAAACCTTACAAAAATATCAACAAGGGAATTACTTATTAGAACATCCATTCCACTTCCTTAAAGCACAAATAATAAAATTGGGGTATTTTCCAGACAAAAACGTTAGCTGACATATTAGTTAGAACCAACCACCCATAGATTACAAAAAATAGCGGACAGTCTGTGAATGTGGCTAAAAGGCTAGATCTAGTCAACAAAGCTTTTCTGATTTTTGCTATCTTCTGTAATTCACTGCAGATTAAGCAGCTCAGTTTTGACATTTGCTCCAAAAATATCAGCAGAAATTTCAATTTATCAGTTGCATGTACAAAATTAAAATACTGTTTGAAGAAATATAGGAAAAATAAACACAAGTTACTTGAGAAAAAAAAACTGAAGAGGACTGGTTTAAGACCATTCAAATCTACCATATTTTTCTTGCTTTCTATTCAGAATGGATGTTTTAAAGAATAGTTTCTGGATATCCTACTGACCCACCAAATATTACTCACTAGTAGCAATAACGTTTCCGCTGCAGGTCTCTACTACTACTGACTATGAATTCACACACAATACAGACTACAGGCTATACGTAAAATAAAGTGTTTTTTTTTATTTTGGGACATACGTATTAATCCTGAGGAATAGCCATTACCATAGATACACAAGGAATTAGAGCATACTCGTGAGAGCCCTTTTATGAGAACAGAACTAAAGCAAAAAGCTTTTTATACTTACATCTGATTAAAACTAGCCATTCAGGTTGTTAATGATTTTTAATTAAGAACAATGAGTTCAAACCCCTAGATCTCTTTTGATTAGAATCATCTGCAATTGAACTGATACATACCATGATGGCATAGCCATGTTCATGTTCAAAGAAACTGGCATAACTGGCCTAGAAATGAGAATGAACAACACTGACATAAGATATATACTGAAATTTAATAATGCAGATGCAGTTATGTAATGAAATTACATATCCCTAATTCTTACTTTTAAACCATAATTAACATTAGCTAATTTGTAGCATCTCTTCAAGAAATCTCTCTTGAAACCTGCCAGCCCAAACACATTTAATATTCAGAGTTGAATTACCACTCTCTATGGTGAGCAAGCAAAACATTAATGGGCTGCTTTATATAAATATATATGTGCGTGTACATATATAGCATATACATGAGATAAATAGATAGATGGATGTAACACACACATGTAGCTCATTTAGTTATTTCTAAGTAACAGGTATTTATCACAGTTCCATACACATGCTCAGTGGATGAAGTCACCACAGCAGCATCAGCAAACCTAAGGAGGCAGCCAAACGCAGCACAGTGGTGGATACGCGTCTGGCCACACGTGCTTCTCTCAACAGCAGAATCTGCTTAAGCAGTGCCTGCCTTCATTGCGGGACTCATTCCCACCCTTGCTGCTGTATGGCAGCCAAACGCAGCACAGTGGTGGATACGCGTCTGGCCACACGTGCTTCTCTCAACAGCAGAATCTGCTTAAGCAGTGCCTGCCTTCATTGCGGGACTCATTCCCACCCTTATGCTGCTGTATGTATGGCATCTTTTCAGACATACCAAGACAACTTCAGTGGACCATGCCATGAATCAAATCTTGGCTATAGTTTTAATCTACTGAAACTGAGGAACATAAGTTCTGCGGGGAAAGACTGAAAGAAGACAAAGGGCAAGCAAAAAGAGCAGCAGATACAGCTACGCTCTTTCTGAATGGCTCAGCAAAGCGTGGCCATGTGGTAAAATAGATAAATAAATCACAGCCCAGTAATCAGTAATACACTGAAACGTTGCTTATCTCCCTATCATCCCTGCTCTACATCTCCCAAGACTGCTGGAGCAAAAGACAATCTGAATTTTGTGTTAAAATAAATTAAGATTATACCTAATCAGTTTTTCTATCATTAAGTAAATACTAGATAGAACTTAATGCTTTATTTACTGACTCCTGACCCTGCTCAGAAGCATTTCAATTCTCAAATTGCACAGAGAAAGCTCAAATGGCATTATTTACTGAAAATACGAATATCCTGTGAATCTCTGAAACCTGCTGTAGGTAACAGGGAAATTCCATCTCCTATACATGCACTTCAGTTTAAGAAGTACATGTACTTAATACGAAGTATATTTAATGGTCAGTAAAATACAAAAAATTACTCCTTGTTAAGACTGGCTTTCAACAAATGACTGTTGGGGGAAAAAAAGCAACAAACAACTCAATCCAGTGAAAATAAAGTCAAAACAATCTAACTGTGCACATGAAACTTTCCAAATATGTTCTCAGTCTGAATTAGTAACAAAAGCAAAATATGAATAAAAATGCAGTTTTGCCATAAAGTAAATCACACAGCAGTTCCTAAAAGTAACAATATTTAATAGCATCATTATTTTACAGTGTTTTTTCATATAAAAACAAGATGCAGAGACATCCAAATCCCATTTGACTTCATCATCTGTGCAAGTGTCTTAATAAGTAACTCTACAAAAAAATGTAAAACGAGAAGTTACAAACTTACGCATGTGGGCAAATGTATTTTACATGGGGGCTTTTGATACCTGCAAGCGCTTCTGACCATCCATGCCTGTTAACAAAAAAACATATTAAATGGCATTTATGTTTTGGCTTGTCTCTTATTTCTATGTTGGTGCAACAGCACAGAGCAAGTGTGAAATATGCTGAATTAGATCAATATAAACACATTTCTAGAAAATTTTTACATCAACTGCAGTATGCTATGAATATAGTACTAAACTTAAAAGGTTTGTTCCGCCTCTGAATATTTGTTGCATATATACAGCCAGGGACACTTTATCTAATTTGACTATCATAGTTGTGGCACAGCTGCAGAAATACCACTTTGGCTCTAGGCAAAGCCTGCTCTGTATCTGGCCGGGTTTATTAACTTGGGTGCTACAACATAGGAACACAGGTATCCTGTTTCCAGGCAGCTCTAGCCCAGAGGCTGCTTTGCTGCTCCTGTAGAGTTAAGGCAGGTTCTTTCACAGCCAACTTTGCTTTTTCTGAACCAAATTTCTTGATGCGGGAGAGTAGCGAACTAACACCTAAGCTAACTCCACATGGACCCAACCTAATCAGACCTATTAACTTTGTCTCAGCTCGAATGCTCTCAGATTCAGGCAGTCCTGAACAACGCTCCAGATTGCAAGTAGTTTTTTAATCTCAAGCACATGCTGTATGAATGCACAGAACAGCGTGAGATCTGCACAGCAGACGAGTTATCAAGCTTCCTACAAACCAGAAAACTGGAAAGCATAATTTAAATAAACAGCTCCAAAAGACTCACTCTAGGGCTCATCTAGACATGAAATGAGCTGGACCCAAATCTGAACCTGTGCAGAACCACTGCCTGTGCCTGCACTTTGCTTTCCAGAACACTCAAGAGCACCTGAATTTCCTGATTTTTCTCATTATTCAGTATTCCTAACTCACCCACTAAACCAGATACTGCAAAGTTGATTCTAAGCAGACAACACCTGTAACATTCATCAGTGATGCAGCTGAACTAATCAGACCAACAGCAGACAAGCCATAAAAGCATGTTTGGTTTAGTTTCAATTTTAATATCATCCTGAAACATTAACATATGCTACCTAAACTTAAAGACGTTTCAAACACACAGACAGCGCAGACATTTGCAACACTGGCTGTGTATCTCAGCCTGCTTCCTACAAATACTTTTATATATACCATTAACAAATTGTGGTTGATATTACTTGCATAATATTTGCAGTATCACAGAAGGCCAAATAAGAATCTAAACGAGAAGTACGACTGAGAAAAACTAGTTAGGTAAGAATTTGGGGACTTTTTTTAACCAACTACAAAGGTTAATTTGACAAATTTGGAAAGCAACATTGTATACACATTTATGCAGACTCTTTAGAACAATCCTCTATGTTGTACCTTTTGTTCAGATTTTGACAAGTATGTACCAATCGTTAAGTGCCATTTATATAGGAGCTAAGAGAGAAAAAGAACATAACCTCCGTTAGACACTTCTCAGAGTAAGAAAAATACAGTTGGTAAACTGAAGTGAGCCATTTAAAAATTCATATGAAGTAGAACAGGTCAGTTTAAACTGTGGGAAATTATAAAATTGTTAATTAGTTCTCTTCAGACAATTCTTTTTTGGGTTACTACTACGGCTGTTTGGAAAAAAAATGGCAGTATGTCAAAGGCAGTTTAGCTAATCTGATCTGCAGTGGACTAGAGACAAACGTGGACAAATACAGCTAAATCACCATATTTCCACAGAGGTGTTAGGACTTGTTAATGCATACATTCCAGTATGCTCAGTGCATTTGCAAACTTGAGACTGCGCATTAGCTTTGCCACCAAAATGGAAATACCACATTTGTATAAGGAATACAATTTATGTTAAAAGGCAAATCTTTTTGACCCTTGCCAAAACCAGCATCAACCCAATTTGCAAGGACGCAAATTCCAAAGACTCAAAAGATTCTGCAATCACTTGCTGAACATTTGGTGCCAAGATGCAGGAAGCACTGCTGCCTCAGCTGCCTCCTACCAGCAGAAAGGAAGAGGGATAATGCAAACAAGGCAGTATGCCAGCACAGCAAATGAGAGCAAACATCTCCACTTGTAGACTACTGCCAAGTGCATGGACTTGACTCTTTTTAACTTATTAAGTGTCCAGGTTACACAAGTTTCAATTCTGACAGCTGACTTTTTTTTTTTTAGTTCTTCAAAAGAAGTTTATGTCATTGCAAGTTTCAACCTAGAGGCAACATTCAAGTTGCAAGTAACAAAAATGGCGTTCTTAAAAAAAAACAGTGTAACTTTGTCCATAAGGGAGCACAACAGACAAAGCATTCATGCTACTTATTTTCAGTATCTAAGTGCCAATTCCTTTAAAGTCTTCTACCAAAAGAAGGTTTCAACATGCCAACTTGTTAATGCAACGGCTTTAATGAATGCATGCTTGTATCTCAGCACACACAAGCTTCAAATGGAAACATTACACCACACCTAGAACGTATCCCAGAAATTCCCTACTCTTTTGCTTTCTACTCAAACATGGAAATAACAGGAACAAGGCAAACTGGGTATTTCACAGCTTGTCTGGGTGTTGGGGTTTTTTTTGGAGTCTGAAGACCATATTTCAGATAGAGGAATCTGTAGACGTTAGGTGACTACTTAGGAGTTTGCTTAGATAAATCGAGTAAGCCTGGATTTTAATGTAAGTGTGACATACTGAAGAAGAAACTATGGCGTAACTGCACCTACTAGCAAACCAGCAATCCACAAGTCCGGAAAAAAAGAGAATTGTCTATGTTTAGACAAACACAGGAATAACCAGGAACCCACTCTCAGGAAAGTGAGAGATAGAAACCCACAGACTTCTTTTTCCACCAAGTTTGACTCAAGAACAAAAAAGGGATCACATTCAGACCAAATTAGGTAAGTGATTGAAAAAGAGAGAAGAAAAAGTGTTTGAGGACTTATGCTGGGAAATTTTAGACAAATAGTTGTCACCATCGTTCCAGCATACATGAAGTTTCATCTGTTGTTAGCCACTGCAGTCAATTAAGGGCAAAATAAGAAGCTTTAGTAACTTTTAACTGCTCGCATCTTTAAAACATGCAGCCTTGTATTTGAAACTATAACTATTAAGTATGCAATAGATCAGAATACACACCCGGTATCTCCCAATCCATGAAGAAAAATGACCTAAAGGAAAAAAAAAAACCCATAGTAGTATAAGATCACTGAACTGTAAACGCACCTAACCCGCGTACTACAGACGCCAACGCAAGACCACACACAGTTCGGAGCACGATACGACTTTCTCAGAAGAAAACTCTGCTTCGTTCACTTCCCATCCCAGTTCTCCCCTCCCCGGCCTCCCCGCCGCC